GCCACAGCCGGGCCGTGGGGAAATCAAGCGTGGGACGTGCCAGCTGCGGTTGTTGGGCTGGAGCTGGGGGACAGTCCTGCAGTCAGGGCTTGGGTGCTTTGCTGGGGAGAGGCAGAAGCAGGGTGCTGTGCAGTACGGGCTCTCGCTGGGCGTCCAAGTCATCCCATCGCCTCCCCGAGCCTCGCAAGTGCCACGTGTGGACGTGTTGCGGAGCGTGCGGTGGAGCCGAGGACCTTGCTGCAACGGGACACGGCGGGTACCAAAAGTTTGCAGAGCAACAGGAGAAGTCGGCAGCTCCCGTGTAGTCCCATCCCACCAGCTGCTGGCAAACCCAAGGGACTGCTGGAGGCCAAGTCACCTCTAGCACAGTTCTGGGGGCTCACTGTTGTCCCACCTTTACTGACACTGTCACCCACCAGCGTAAGCTCCTACAACCAACACAGCCCTCAAGCCCCACCACAGAGGTCACCCCTACTTCTCCTCGTGCCCCTTTTGTCCGATTTAAACCCTGTTTTATGGCCCAGACACTCCCCACCGCCTACCTCAGGCACAACCAGAGGCCACAGTAATAAGATGCCACTTACAGTGTCCCAGCAGGATGGGACTTTCCAGGCACACAGGGATTGGAGCTGCTCCCCTGCAAGGGAACCATCACTCTGAGCACCTGGAGGTATCACTGGAGTCACAGCAGAAAAAATAGGCAGTGACGGAGAGGAGGGAAGGACAGACAGAGATGTGAAAAAAGTCTCTGAGGCTTTCATCTTAACTGTGGGGACTTGGAGGAGAACCTCGAGATCACAGGAGATCAGCAAGGAGACAGAAAGTCAGTGGGTGCCTGAAAGGCTCCGTGCTTTGGGAAATGAGGACGCACCCTTAATGCCCACAGCCCGGGCTGTTGTGGAGCAGGACTGGGCTCGAAGGAGAGCCGCCTCTCCTCCGCCTCCCCGGCACCCCTCGCGTCACACAAGCACTAATTCCCATTCCATTTCAGTGGGGTTGCAGCAGACTCTCAGCCCTGTAAATGAGACGAGATTTGCTTCTAAGTAGCTCTGGCTTCTCGCCTTTTCTTTATGGAGATAAGCCTTTTCTGTTCCTCTCCCTCAAATTGTTGGATTTTTTTTTTTCAGTGACCTTATTTTTCCTTTACCACAACAAAGGACTGCTCCCAAGAGCCAGCTAAGTGCATCAAACCATTAGCAAATCCTTCCTTCCAATGCAAATAAATACATAAAAAGTCTAGCTTCTGTTTACAAAACATCCATCCCTCATTAATAAATATCGAATCAATTTCTACATAACAAATGACGTACCCTGGAACCGTTCATAAGACACACGGTACCATTTGCCTCCTTATTTGAAAGCAAGAGAAGATGCAGTGCGCTTTTATAGCTATCCTCACCTTTTCTCTTGGGACGGGTAAGTTCAAGAGGGATGGAAAAGCTTTGGGGATTTCTGCTCTCATCTATGTGAGAAGGGATTTGCCTGTGCTAATGATGTTTTTCATATTCACAGCTCCAGACCCTTCCTCTTTTGGTACCTCTCTCTCTCACAGGTTGGGATCTTGCCTGATCCTTTTCTGATTCAACTGGAATTATTTTTTTTCTAGCAGGGGCAGCTCCAAGGTACATCTGCACCTACTACGATGTTGTTGAGTACCTCAACATCTCCTCTCACAGCAAGCTGCACGCACGCATACTGCCCAAGGCCAACTTGAAGGAGCCTGTGGAAGTGAAGATGGATTTCATGCTGGTGGCTATTCTCTCCGTGGTAAGGACCCCAAACTCCTGTTGAGTCTTTATAACGGGAAACCGGGCGATTGCGAGATTGGGGTCTGAGTCTTCTGCCAGGCAGGGCTGGGCCAGCAAGGCCACAGGGATGAGAATCAGCCCCTTCCACTTCTTCAGCTTTCTGCTGTTTGAAAGCATTTTTGGAAGATCTGGAGTATTTTCTCCCATGTACCGCCAGGAAAAAGTTCAGAGGCAGGGTCAGACCAAGATAAAGTCTAAAAATGACCTTGCAGAGTGCCTGGACTGAGCAATGCATTTGCAGGGCACTGGCATGTAAATGTTGACAATAATCTATTTTTTTCTCTCAAACCGTTGGACCGTATGCTCCCACTCTTCAGCCGTAGGACCAAGACCCTTGGGCTCTCCTCCTGAGTCGAGTTTCTGTAATCTGTGCTGTCCACTGCAGGAGCAACAGGGGAGAGCTTCTGGGCTCTGCATTGCAAGTACCTAAGAAAATCAGCTGAATGTCTTCCCTTTTGTCTCTCCAGGTCGAAAAGCTCCAGACGGTCACTTTTTACTTCGTGTTGAACCTGGTAGGTCCCTCGAGAGCGTTTCTCTCCAGCACGATGGCTGGTGCCGAGCCCGGCACTCATTTCTCTCCTGCAACTTCTTCCCCCAGGAGTGGAAAAACACTTTTGCAACCTGGGACCCGCAGGATTTCTGTAACATTTCCAAAGTCGTTCTGCCCACGGATACGTATTGGTCTCCCCCCATCTTCATTTTAGAGCGGTAGGTTCCCCTTTCATTTTTATCCGCTGGCTTAAGAGAAACACAATGGACGCAAACTGCTGGTACGTATTATTGCAGGAAATGGGATAAACTCTTATGGTTAAAGGTTGTTCCCATGAGCTCTCTGTAACCAAGAACCTCGTAATTTAGATTAATGGTGACCACCGTTTATACAAAGCACTTTGTGGCTCTGTAATCCTGTAACGTCTCCAGAAATGTCCCAGCTGGGCTGCAGTTAAGCTGAGGATGCAATAGAGACCAGCAATGTCGTGGAATAAAACGACCCTTGGTAGTTAGTTGTAAGGTACAGGACAGAGCACCGTGGGTCTGACAGAGGGATGGGCACCGCCGCCAGCTCTTCGCCGGGGGGGAAGGAGTGGGGGGCAGCTCTGCCGCACAGCAGAGCTGGCAATGAGTGAGCCCCTGCCCCGGGTGAGAGTGGGAAGCAGAGGGGAGAGAGGAAGGAGTTTCCTCAGGAGGTGCAGAGCTACTACAGACCTTAGTCCGGAGGTACTCACCAGCCCTTCTTCAAGCCCCGGGTTTTCTCTCCTCATTGCTACATCCCGTGGCTGGGTGATGGCGTAGAGGCCCCCCCAACAGGATGCTTACAGGCCAGGCTTTTGTGGGACTGAGGAGCATCGCAGCGTCTTGGAGCTCGGTCGCTCTCCACTTTTGTTTCCTCCAGAGTGAATGGACAAAACTCGAACTTGGATTACATGGCCGTCATGCACAACGGCAGCTTCAACTCCACCCAGCCCTTCCAGGTTACCTTAACGTGCAGCTTGGTCATCCTCAAGTTTCCCTTTGACACCCAGACGTGCAACTTGAGCATAGCTTCATTCCTCTACCCAGGTACAGCAGCAAGCTGAATTTTACCACAGCTGGGCTAAATTTGCAGAAGAAGGAGTAGATGAGATGGACCCTGGCTACCTCCTAGGTTCCCTCGGCAGCATCACGCGCTCACACTGGGTTAGCAGGGTCGGGGTCGTGTACCAGGGAAAATGAGCTAAACCACTGCCATTCTGGTTTGGCACGTTTCCCAGCAACATCGCTGAAAGCATCTGGACGTTCTGTGGCATGTCACCCACGGGAAGGGTCTCTACAAACCAAGAGACTAGGAGGCTTCCTGCAACAAGGCTTCTCGTTCACATAAAAGGGCTGATCTTTAAACATACCTGAAAGCCATGGAAACGAGAGGAAATTAAGGACAGTTTCAGGGGTCTAAAAATGCAGTCAGAGTTCATCCCAACAGGAAGGGGTGAAAAATAAGCAGAGGTGGCACAAAACCCTCCAGCTCCCATCCACAAAGGACAACTGTCCTAATTCACCTAATTGGTTGGGAGGGAAAGGAAGAGGAAATAACTGACCTCTAATAACTACCTAAATTCTGCAACTTCTCTCCTCCTCTGCCTCCTGCCCAAGCAGTAACAGATCTTGTCATGAAGACAAGACGGACACCAGCTGAGATGATGAAAGACAGCCAGAGCTACTTCCTAACTGATGGAGAATGGAAGTTCACTAACCTGAGCATCATTGAATACAGAGAAGAGCTGGATAATGGAGAATTTTCTGTGGTCACCTATGTGGTATGGCAGTACTTTCATATTATAGTGCACTGATTTGCCAAAAAAAAAAAAAAAAAAAAAAAGAAGTATGAAAGAAGGTAATTTTCTACATTAGCGAGCAAGTATTTGCCCAATACAGTAAGTTATCTCCTGCTCACCTAAATTTTGTCCATCCTCTTCAACAGATTTCCATGGAGAGACGACCCACTCTGTACATTTTGAACCTGATCCTCCCAACCTGCGCCCTGTATCTGCTGGATATGGCTGTGCTGTTTGGACCCAGCTCCCTTGAGGAGAAAATCAGTTTCCAGATTGCCATCATCCTTGGCAGCTCCATGTTAGCTGTGATTCTCAACAACATCCTCCCAACTTCCTCCAACAAACCACCCGTAATAGGTATCCATCTTCATTGAATAAAAACTGATTTTTAGCCAGGTACCAACCCTAAGGAAGATATTTGGGCGTTTATGGTCATGTTCATGAAGACATGAACAGATAAGCTTTATCAGCTTGCTGGAGTCAGAAATGTCCCCCTTTCCCCACCAGGCAACTGAACGCAAACAGGATTACATTCAAGAAAATGTCAGTTCTCAAGGGTTTTCTTTGTTTTCATATTGTTTTGCAGTGGTATTCTTCTTAGGCACCTTCCTGCTCATGATCATGGCTGTGTTGGACACTTTCTTCCTGTTGCACCAGCAGCACAAATCCCTACGCTTAGACAAGGGACTCGGAAGCTTCCAGCAAGGTAAAGCAACCCATAACCTCTTAAACAAAGTAGGTTTGCTGCATCTTGCTGCAGATTCCTTTGAGCAAGGGTGGTTTTCCTCAGGGCAACCAGTGCCCCAGGCAGTATCAGTCGTGGTAGTCACCCACCAACCCCCCTCTAATGACACTTGCTATTTGCTCTTTGCAGACGTGCACCCCGAGCTGGCGACGAGAGCCGTGAACAACCAGACCGTGAAACACCTCGCCAAGGAAGGTGCCCAACAGCTGAACCATCCCAAGAAGGCCCAGAAAAAAGGGCAGCCAGCCAAGCCCCACTGGCAACCACAGGAGAAGGACCCATTTCTGCCAGTTCTGGAGAAGATGCTTCTCTACAGTCACTTCTTCCTGTCCGTGTTTTTTTTTGCTATTATTTCTATAAAATGGAGCACCTAGACACCAGCTCTGCACAGTGCTAGTTCAGTTGTTCTCCATTGTACTGCTTCTAACCCCTCCAATGTAATTTTTTTCCTGCTTGATTCATAGAGCTGCAGTTGTTTCGGTTGCCTAAATAAGATAAAATTTAAAAAACAAACCCACAGGGCATGAGATCTGGATGCTTTGTGCTCCGGTTCAGTAGAACCACGTATGTTCTTAAAGTATTCTGTAGGCTAGCAAGGTATTTGAATAAAACAATTGTGAAATCTAGGGATAATACCTTCATTCTATCTGTCTATAATTCTTACCACAAACATGATCAACAGAAAAGGAAGCTAATGCCCTTCTCTTATGGAGGTGTTTCTATTTTGGGAAAAGGTGTTTAAGAATTCCACTTCAGATAATTAAATAAAACAATGCAAGTCTGAAGCATTTGTACTATTGTTTTTGTGAGTTTCAGTGAGATCTGCACCATTCAGAAACCCAGGACAGAGAGAATAATAGGATGACCAGGATTAAAAGGGTGATACTTGGGAAACATTTTAAAAAAATCTTGATTTTTAAAATGTATCTCAACACATCTACGCTCCTTCAACTCCTTTTGCAATGGGCTGCACCTAAACCACAACTAACCTAGAAAACAGCCCTAGACCTCTGCCTGTAAAACTACTGAGACATACCTCCCACTGCATCACAGACCACTACTAAATACACTCCAGCATCTCAAAAGGCTTTATACATTCAACTTCTAAGCAACTCTTCTGCCACTGCAGGCAAATAACTACATTCCCTGTGCTATATGGTTACGCAGACGAACAGGCGGTTTATTTGCATTACAGAAGATGCAACAAGACTCAGTCTGATCACCAGGTCTCGCTGGGATCTTGGTCCTTGCTACAAAAACAAGTTCACAGGTAGAAAAGACAAAATCCAGGAAAAGTGGGCTGTTTGCAAGTTAGTGTATTGTTCCACGTTTCTCAAAACCTTGCAACCTCATGTCTAAGATCTCAGTCACAGGCAGGAGGGAAAGTACTTTATTTAAAAGATCATAGACTCTGACAGTCATTAGACAAACTGCTTCCAGACAAGTTTACAGATCAGCAATCGGTTTGTGGGGCCAGTATGGATATTTCTCCTTGTCCAGTCTGGTTTCAGGGAAGGCTTCATGCAAGTCTTCAAACGTCATCTGATCGAAAGGAATCATGCTTCTGAGCTTCTGAAGCTTGAAGTGGGGACAAAGACAAACACATTACAAGTCACTTGTCAGCAAGAGCGAGCAAAGCACACACAGGTAAGAACAAGGTGTGTGCTAGGCTGGGTTAAAGAGAATATTCAATAAGCAAAGTCCAGACTTACCTGTTGCTCATACTGGGCAACACGAGCTTTGGAAGCCTGCACATATTCTGCAGTGCTCTTCGCCTGCAGAAAAGCAGAGGACGTGGTGAATATGGTTATGATCAAGACAGTGACCTAGAGTGAACCTGCAACCCCATGCTTTAAGTTGCCATTAAAATTCATAATCATTACACTAGATAAGCGGACAGAATCTTGATCAAATCCCAAATAGCCAAACCCTTCCATGTGCAGAGATCCTCTTGCTTAGCCAAAAGCCAGAGACACATATGATGAAGACCAGAGCCAGGCTCTAGCTCAGGCTGCCCTGCCCGTGCAGATGCCCATACAGAACATCCCTTCCGTCTCACCCCGCTTCCCATCCTCACAGAAGTCAGAGACAACCCCAGCATTAGGGAACAGTTTAATCACTTACAGCTTCCTGCTCTTGGGCATCAATTTTGGCAGTTTGTGTATCCACTGGCTCAGGAACCTTTAGTGCGCTGAACTGTAAATCAAAAGAGAAAAATTTTTATACAGCTTGATTGACTGAAATAATCCTTCGCCTTGAGGTCATTTTCCCTAGCAGCAGGGGAGCACTCCCTCCTTTCTTCCTAGGATATGCTCACAACGATGGAAGTTAACAAGCTTTCTAAACTGATTACTGCAGCTTGACTGTGTCCTTCACAAGCAGCACTGTTCATCTGTGAGCTTAAAGCAATCTATTCTGTATTGCATACCACCACCAGGACACGTAATACTACTCACATTCGTCACAGCACCGTAAAGAGTAAAGCACAGCATTGTAAGCAAGCAAGAAAATCTAACACCAAAGACTTATCACAGACTTATGTACCCCAAGACGCTGAGGTTAGTGGGTCCTCCCAGTCTTGGGAGGCCAATTTCCATAGCGCCAGTAACACCACGTGTCCTTCAGCAAAAGCCTCGCTTGTGCTTTTCAACTCCTGCTTATAAAGAGGATGGCAACCCCTGCAGGCATCCACTAGCTTTACATGCTTCACAGTGTGCAGAGCCACACTCGCCATCTTCTTCCATTCAGTGAGTTAGAGAAACACTTTGAATGTTTGCTTCAGGAGAGGCAATACTTGAAAACACTCCTGCAGCCAAAATAATTTATCGAGTTTTCTTTCACCAACTCTCTCACCGTACAGTGCCACAGGTTTCCTTCTGAAAGATGGCCCTGAAGTGACCTTCTCGAAGTTAGCGATGCTGACCTGCAGGATGTAAAGCTGGGGCACTTGCTAGCCAAAACCAACCTCCTCTGCCAATTCTGGTGTTTTCCTCTCAACACCAACGACATTCCCCATTTAAACGTCTAAAGAGCAACATCCAGCTGACAAAGAGACTGACCTTCTTCTGAAACTCATCCACCAAGCCAGCTTTAGCAACAGTAGCCTTGTAGTAAGCCCAGTCAATGGTCGGGGGTTTCTCTGGCAGGGCGGCGAGCCTAAAGAGACAGAAGACAGCAGTCACAACCAGGGCTAGAAGTAACCTTGTGCTATCATTTCTTCTCTGCCACAATTACTTTTCAGAGTGTCAACAGAGCCTACTAAGTTTAGTTTAAATATTTTCAAGTCCATCATTAACAAGCAGTGATGAACCATTTCTGCAAATCCCTCCGCCCTTGAAACAGACTTCTCTATATAGACAAGAAGAGTTCAGCCTGCAGCCCTGTTCCACTTCAAACCACTACATAGCATCTCCGGGGCAGCCCTGTAAGAAAGGATTAGGCAGTTTTCACAATACTGACCTACAGGCAATCAGTAATATTAACTGCAATAGCCAACAACACTTGTATCAAACAGAGGAAGCTGAAGGATTTGAGAAGACTCATGAATTTGTACAGCATTTAACAGAATAACAAAGCTTGCAAAATGTTTCAAACAAGTCAAAGCAAACTGCTTTCACAGAACTGCTTTTTTACGTTGCAGCTACTGTTTTGCACTGGGAAGGATTAAGTAAAGATGATTTTCCAAAAAAAGCCATCAGTTGTCTTGAAGGTTACCTGTTTTAATGCCTGTCAGGACACTTCTGCGAGACCACAGTTACTGACACCGGCTCAACACAGTACCACAAAGGTTGAACGGTTCAGCTGAGGGACCGAACTGCCCCACGCAGAAGCGCGGCAGACACTCACCGGGCCGACAGCGCGTCACTGCGGGTCTTCAGGGCGTTGAACATGGCCCTCTGGTTTGGGGGCACCCTCTCGGCGAAAGCCGCCCAGTCAACGGCCTTGATGGCAGCTCTGCGGCCCGCCATGCTTCCAGGCTGCGCCCAGGAGAGATGACACCAGGTGGGTTACGCTGCAAGGGGGAGCGGGCAGGGCCCAGCAACGGCGGGGCTGGAGAGGACGGCTCCGAGCGGCCCGGGAACGCCAGCACCGAGGGGTGCGGGTTGGGGTAGCAGGGAGGACCGGTACACAGGACACCGCTACTCGGC